TTTCCAGTGTCTGTAATGTTTCATCCACATCGTACTGTCATGGTGGGGGTGAGGGGAGATACTAGGCTAGGATGGATGCTGGCGGTGCCAGGTGAGCATGTGGGGAGAGGGGCAGGCTGAGGAAAGAGGATGCTGCGCTGGGGACGGTGCTCTGGAGGAAAGCTGAGTGGCTGGAAGCTGAAGCCCTCCATTTGGGAGTCACGAGCTGAAAAGTAGAAGCAGAAACAGCAAGACTGGGTGGACTCATCCAGGGAGATGAAGGGCAGAGAAGAGCAATGGGCTGAGGGCGGGGAGATGCCAGTGTTTCGGGTTCAAAGTGCAGGCAAAGAATGAGGAGCCGGAGCTGGGCTAGTGAGGGGCATGAGGAGGGGACCTGTCATGGAGCCAGAGGGGTGTCATTAGGGGTGTGGGCCACCACCATCCAGGAAGGTGATGACTAAACAAAAGCCTCAGTGCTTGGAAAATAAGCAACCAACAGTGATCTCAAGATCGGGAGGGAGGTGGGGGCAGTGAGTGGAGCCGGAGGGGGATGTAGATGAAAATGGACGAGGGACAGCGCAGTGGCAGGTGGTAGGGCGTTGTCCTGGCCTGCGGAGCTTCCGTGGGTCTCCTCACTGATGAACTGGGTGCCTTGGGCTATGAAACCAGGTCTAAAAATTTAGAACCCCGGAGGACCTAGGTTGGCTTCCGAAACCCTGGAGGAACGAAGGCACAGGAGGGGGTCTGGAATGAGGGTGTGGGAGTGAGGGAAGGGTGGAGACCAGTCCAGGGGAGCCCTTTCTCCTCCTGGAAGCCAGGGCTCAGCTCGGACGCCGGGAAGGATCAGCGGATGGAGGGTCGAAACCCTGGGCCCAGTTCCCCAGGAGGCTGTGCCTGACTCATTTCAGCGGAAGCCATGAATCAGGTCCAGGTCACTCGGCCTGGGTAGGTGAGCGAGGGAGGGCATGAGCTCGAGAACCTGAATGGCCCAGGTCCGTGTCTGCCCCAGGGGAGTCCCATGGGCAGCCGGGAGCCGGGGCTGCCCACTGGGTGCGGACACTGGGTGTGGGGAAGAAGGCCGGCAGAGAGCAATTTCCCTCTACCTGCCCTAATCGCCTCTCAGGGGAGGGAGGTAGAGAGAGAGGTTGGCTGTGGCTGACCCGCACCGTCCCCTGGGGGGACTATATAATGAGGGAGAACAGCAAAGCTAACGGTCTGGCAGGCACCTGGGTAGGGGGTATGCGGGTTTTCCTCCAGGCACTTATTGAAACATATTCCTGGGCCCACCCTCGGACACACTGAGCCCAAACTTCCTGAGTAGAAACGTCCATGTTAATGAAGCTCTTCAGGTGGTTTATATGTTTGTTAAAGTGAAGGAGAAAACCTGGCCCGTGCTTGGTTTGTAAACCTCTCGGGACATGTCCCTTTCCAAGCTTTACTGTATTGAGGGCTCCACAAGCTAAAGGCAGGGGACTTCTCCACTGGACACATTAGCAGGGCCTTCTGGAGGCAGAGCCGGGGTCTCAGGGACAGGGGCAGAAGCAGGGAATTGGGGCGAAGAGGGAGGCAGGCGGGCGTGCAGGTGAGGGGAGCACAGGTCCGAGTTATAAAGGAGCAGTTTTGCCGCTTGTGGCATTTCTCTGCAGGGCTGCCCTGAGCTTTGGGAAGCGAGCATACAAAGGGAGTTAGAGAGAAAGACATGCTGTTTGGTCTCAGTGTGGCCTCTCCTTCAGCTGTGTGACTTGGGCAGTTCTCTTGTGCAAGATGGGACTGTCTTCTCACCTGGAGAAGGACGCTGGGCTGAATCAGTGATGGGCCCCCCTTGATGGAACGCTGTACACATCTGAGAGTTTGACAAAGTAGCTGTGCTGGGGCCCTAATTCAACCAATAAGGTCAGAAGCTCCAGGCCTGGGACCTGGCCCTGAGTTTTCAGTTCTGAGCCACTGAAATATGGTGCTTTTGAGCTGGAATCTCTGATCCTCGCCAGCTAAAAGGCTAGGGCAGAGGAGCTTGGTTCTGTCCACCACCATTTACCTCCCCGTTCCACTTAGTTTGCATCACTCCCGATACTACTAAGTACTTGGGCAACACTTGAAGTGACAAAGGAATTGTGTTTTGAATCAGGGACATGCTGAGGTGACAGGAGAACCAACATTTTCAAGCACGGCTAAATTTCAGAGGCCTGTGCAAGGCTGTGTAATACGGTTGCTATAGAGAAGTGGGGGGGATGGGTAGACAAAAATCTTCACCTTAGCTAATGGCCCTGTAATTCTTTATTGCCGAATCAGAAGAAAACACCGAGTTGGTCATTAACAGCAATGAAAAAAAAAGAAAAAAAGTTTTTTATGTATATGAAGGTCAGAAATATTTCAGGGCTTAACGCAGGTGAGTTTGCAATTGAAAGGAGAGTCCCCTGGAGAGAGAACTTTCAGTTTAAGTTTCACCTTTATGAGACAGCGTTATCTCCAGTTCCTGGTATCTGTACATAAGTAGAACATTACTAAGAATGTAATGCAATCAGCTGAACAAAATATCCCAGTGTGTTTACTTTCCGAAGTCTTAACTATTTTGCAGTAAATTCATTCAACAAAGTGTTGATCAGGTCTAGTCGAGTTATTGATTCATAGTGTCTGAGTTGAAATGAAGAAAATATGATACAATGGAAAAGGACATGGACTTTGGAGTCTGAAATACCCTAGTTTAAATTCTGGCTTTGCCCCTACCTAGCTGTGTGAGCTTGGATACAGTTACATAAATCTGCCCTGCCTCGGTGACTTCATTTGTCAAGTGGGGATGACAACGTCGATTTGCCTACTTCGTAGATATGCTGGAAAGAATACATGGGGTGGCTTATGTCTAATGTGGTACCTGACACATAATAGGCATTCAAAAAAGCAGCAGTTCTAATTAAAATATTGATATTTTCCCAACATGCATATAACGAAGTTTCACATGGGACCTGGCATACTTCTCAACAATGCAGTGAAGAACGCATTGCTTTGCCCATTTCACAGATGTTGAAACTGAGGTGCTATCACTGAACTTGAGCCTCAGTCATCTAACCCCAAGTCCCGGGCTCTTTCCATTGCATCCTCTCAACCAGAGCTGGGCAACGCCATTTCATTAAGTGCCAGTTTGGAAGGTGCCAGGAATGGCTGCCTCTGTTACTTGGGGAGACACACAGGTTATGGTTGGAACATTTCGCAGGGGAATGACTTGGGACTTAAGTCACAGAAGAGGTGCACAGTGGAAGCTCCATGTCAACTACGAGTGACAAGCTCTGGACATCTCTGCATATCACCATATCTAAACCAGGCTCACAATGCAATCTACTCCATTAGGAGCATCTGGCCAAGATACTAATTCCTATTTAGAGAGAGAGAATTTTAATGTAAACACTTTAACGTATCACCTCCACAGAAATTTTAAAAACACATATACTTTTATTAACAACATGTCTGGCCCTCAGAAGCAGAGTGGAACAATGACTGCAGGCCTGAGGACACAGCCCAGGCCTGGCACCTGCTTTATTTTTATTATTAACGTTTCCAGTTAGATGACCAGCGAGCAACACGTGTTCTTGTAGCGTAGGCTTCCCTTTGCATTAGTCTGAATACACCAAATGGCTGTGTATGAGGACTCCTGTCCCGTGCAGAAGCTCCCTACCCAGGCGGGACCCAGGCCACGGCTGGCTGCAGGAGACGGAGAATGGGCGATTTTTACATCTCAAAAATAATAAATGAAACTTTTAAAATATTATAAAGGGCATATGGAAATAAATTCACTTTTTAAAAAGTAGGCTTCCAGTTGAAAAATGGGCAAAAGGCATACACATATACTTTATATGCACATAACCTTCCAGAAAAACCTAGGAAACTGTGATCTCATTAACGATCAAGTATATCTAAAACAGTACCCCATTAAAGCGAGACGCTGTTTTTGCCCATAAAGTTAGCAAAAAGTTTCTCATTCTAGTGACCAGACCAAACACGGATGGGAGGGTGTCAGGCCAGGTGTGTCAATTAGCACAGACCTTTAGAAAAACAGTTTGGCAGCAGGATAGCCAGAGCCGTAAAAGAATTCCATGCCTCTGCATCTGTCCCAAATAAATCATCTGCAGTTCAGGGGGAAAGGTTTTTTAAAAAATGACAACGGCCATCTAAATGGTCAACAAGAGTAAAATGGTGCAGTAGAGTATTTTATATTCCCATGATGTATAATTCAAGTATTAAAAATAGGTTTATGAAGGTCTGGAGATAAAGAGGGGAAATTCTTACATTGTAAAGTTAAAAAAAAAAAAGTAGCATATAAGGGTGACATCCACTATCAAATGGTTAGAAAAATCATTTGATAGAAAAAACATCAAACCTCTAACACAAATTATCTCTCAGCGATGGGATCATGGGTGGTTAATTTTCCTTCTTTCTGCTTTTTTGCAGGTTCCAGTTTTTTTCCATTACCCCCAAAGTATATACACAAATTAAAGAAATACATTTGGTCTTTGGGGCTGAGAACAAACTTTGCCCAATGACCCTGAATTTATCTGCTTCTCCCTGAATTTTTTCACATCTGCAGAGTCACCAAATATATTCAAGACTATAGAAAAGTACCTCAAAGTCGAACGAGGTGAGTGCCAAGAGAGGCCAAGGAGAAAAATAACAGGAGATCAATAAGCAAAAGAATGAGAGAAACATTTGCTAGCAAAAAAAACAAACACACAAACAAAAACTCTCCTGGAGCATTTCCAATCAGTTCCATCCTCCTGGGCCCGGCAGGGAAACGGAGGGGCCGGCTGACCTCCGACAACAAGGCAGGCCTGAGATAAGCCGCCTCACACAGAGTGCGGCCGGCGGGCCCTCCGGAACTCCAGGACGCCATGGTGTGGCCTCGTCCTCCATGTGTCTTTGATCTTTCCCCCACGCTCTTTGTGCATCACCTGGGGACTGAGCCACACTTGGGCTTGTAGACAAAATACGAGTGAAAACAGCTCCAGACTCATGACCACCTCACAGCTGGATCTCTAGAAATCTAAATCGTCTTGGCCAAAGCCATCGGTCCTGTCCATGGTGAGGTTTCTAAGCTTCCTTTCTGTCCCAGAGAGACATTTAACCACCTTCTCGGCCTCTGAGTCAGAGCCTTGGCCTGCTCTGGGCTCTGGGGTCAGACTTGAGCCTGTCCCTCGCTCTGGAGTCCTTGAGCCCGGGGAGGGCCCTTCTTGCTCAGATGTGGAGCTTTCTGGATACATGCCTGTGACTTTTATCTCTGAACCAGGGACTCCCTTGGGCTCATAGCCAGAGGTCCTCATGTCTCCATTTGGAGGCTCCTCTTCAGAGCCTTTCAGGGAGAGCTGAGAGCAGTTGCCCAGAGACGATGTTCTGGACGAGGAGAGACCTGATTTCGGGCCTGACCTTTGGCCAGGCGTGTCCCCCCCTGGGGCAGGGGCTGGTGTGGGCCCCCCCTCTTGGTCCGGGCTGCTGTGTCCAGAAGCCTCGCCCACCTGGCCCTGCCTCAGGCCAGCCTGTGGACTCCCTTCTTTCTCACCTTGACTTCCTCCCCTCGACGCTGGCTGTCCCTCTCCTTCCGTTTCTGGGGCCTCTATGGTATCGGCACCATCATTCTGTCCACCGGGACTTTGGTTGCTCTCCAGCCTTCGGTTGGCCCCAGAGCCCTCCTCTGTGTCCCCTTCCCTGTTCCCCATGCCCTGTGCCTCCCACTCTGCTGTCTCCAGGTGGTGGCCTGCACAGGGGCCTGTGTTCTCTCCTCTCTTCTGAGCAGCTGCACCCTCCTCTGCTCCCCCTGGATCTTCCCCGCTGCCGAGGATCTGGCTGCTCTCATCCTCATCCCCCTCCTCAGCCCCAGTGCCCCGACCTAAGCCCAGCTCCAGGCCTCTGTCAGCTCCCTGGATAGGCCCTGTCCCCGAGGGGTCCCTCTCAAGCAGCTCCATCCCTGTATCCTCAGGGGCCATCCCTGCTGTCTCCCCATTAGCATACGCTCCTTTTTTCTTCTGCAGAATTTGCTGTAGGTCAAAGGCCTCTTTGATGGGTGGGCTGGCTATGCCCACTGTGTCCTTCGAGGACACAAGGATCACTTTCTTCCTCAGGCAGGCCTCGCAGGGACAGAACTCCTCCCCCTCGGCCTCGCCATCCAGCAGGGTCCCCAGGGCTCCACTGATGTTTGGCCCGTCCTCCAGGGAGAGGGAGGGGGTGCCCTGGGCCCAGGTCTGCTCGGAGAAGGCCGAGAGGTTGCGCAGGCCCCGGAGACGATGCCTGCGCTGCTCTGTCTGCTGGGACATCTCCCACCTGAGGGCTACCCTGGGGGGCCCCTGTGCCTTCCTCCCTGCCCGGCTCTGGATCTTCCGGAGCTCCTTCACGGTGCTGTCCCGGAGCCGCTGGCCCACATCCTGCTGCAGCTCAGCCACCATCTGGTCCAGCAGGGCATGGTCCGGCAGGCTGCAGCGGGCTCGGAGTGCGGCTGTGGCGCTGGCCAGGTGGGCCATGAAGGCCTTCTCCATCTTCCTCAGCAGACTGGACACCCAGAGGGGATCAGGGTCCGGAGACACCCTGCGAGCTGTAGAAGGGCCCATCTCTCCAGTTCGCTGGGTGAACTTGGCCTGGGTTTGCTCATGGCCTGTCCCAGCTGCTCTGGGCAGCTTCTCCAAACCAGGCTCAGTGTTGGAATCACTTTGACTCCCACCGGCATGTGAGTCCCTCTCGAGGCTCCCAAGGGTCTCCGCCCGAATCTCTCTCCTCCCTGCAGGGCGCAGCATGGCGGAGGCAGGGTCTCTTCCTGCTTCCTCTTCCTGCACACTCTCATCGTCCCCCGGACCCACCCCTTCCTGAGAGCCAGCCCCTGACAATTCTTGTCCCGTGGTTCTTTCTTCTTCTGGAAATCCACCATCTCCTTGCAGTTCTGCTCTTTCTTTTTCTTCTGTTATTTTCTCTAATTGCACCGCCTCCTCTTGCATTATGCACTCAACTACGTGGTCCGGGTTACTTCCCAGCGTCTGCTCCCCATTGCTTCCCTCTGCCTCGTCCTTCCTGGTGGCACAAGCCTGTGCTTGAGGACTTGAGGAGGCCATGCAATCACTTGGCTGCTGCCTTCCCAGTTCCTCTGGCTTCTCTGAGGTTCTGCAATCAGGCCTCTGTTGGGGGATTTTCAAGGGCAGCTCTATCCTCTCAGAGACCAGGGTGCAGTCCACGGCATAGGGCCCCCTGCCCTCCCCCGAGCCTCCAGAACCACTTCCGACATCCACACCAGAAGAGGATGTTGGTGTGAAGTCCTCAGTCACAGCCTGGGACCTGAGGCCTGGCAGGGCCTGGCACCTACAGAACTGCTGGAAGCCTGAGTCCAGCTCACCTGGCCCCAGGCCACACCCTGGCCACAAGGCCTGGAAGGTGCTCAGGAGCTCCTGGTACCGAGGAGAGTCTATGAACCTCAGTTTGCCAACAGGAGACCCAAGATCTTGATCGAAGAAGTGGAGCCTGGCGAGGCATGTGATGAGGGCCTGGGCGGAGTGGCTGAGCCTGCTGCCCACGGGGCCGGACACTTCGGGCAGGCTGCTGGGCCGGCCCTGCTTGGAGCCCATCAGCGCTTTCATGATCTGTATGGGGGCAGAGACCCTGAGGGGAAGCACGCACTGGCCCACACCACAGTCCCCAGCTGCTCCTCCAACTGCTCCAGCCTCCGTGGGGGCTTCTGAAACTCCACTGTGAGAAAGACCCTCTCCCGGCTGGGGACCAGTGTCACCAGTCACTGGGAGGGGTCCCTCGGGTTCTGCTTTCTCACTGGTGGCCCCTTCCAGGGACAGTTGCCTGGCCTGAGTTGGCTCCTCCAGGCTTTGGGGGTAATGTTTGTCAACAGGGTCCTCCGTGGGGCCTTCCAAGCCATCCCCAGCTACGTCCACGCTGTCATCTACCGTCTCATATTTCACAGGCTCAGGCCCCTCTGGGATGTTGCTCAGCCAATCACGGACCACGGTTTCTGGCGAGGCTTGGGGCAGAGCACCCAGTGTCACGCTGCCATCGTCCTCTTGCTCCTCCAGACCGGCCCCTCCACCAGCAACCTGCCCCTGGCACATTCTCCTGGGCCTGGGACCCAGGCTGGCCCTTCTTGCTGCTCTGACCGCTCTCCCAGTCCCCCCTGCCTGAGAGCTGGGGGGGCGTGGGCGCTGCACGTCTAGCTGCTCCTCTCCCGGCTCGGCGACCCCTGGCCTGCAGTCAACACTGTGGTCCCCATTGCTGCACAAGGGGTGTTTCTTGACAGAGGGCCATGCCTCGGGGGGAGTAGGGCAGTGGCTGCTGCGCACCAGGCAGGCCTCAGAGAGGGGCTGCTGGCTGCCCTGGGGCGGGGCGTGCGTCTCACCACGGGACGTGCTGCAGACCCCGGATGGGCCCATCTCTGAGCAGCAGACCTCTTGGTGGACTCCTGCCTTTCCCCCCTCCTGCTGTCCAACTGGCAGAAGCAAGGGCCAGGAGGGCTTGGGGGCGCTGCCTCCTGCATCTCCACCCTGGCCATTGGCTTGGGAGCTGAAAGAGTCAGATAAGCTGGAAAGGGAGTGGGCCCCAAATTCAGGATTCCCTTCGATCTCAGCAGAGGGAGAGTAGGGGCCGCAGAAATTGGAAGCACCGTCTAAATTGCTCACAGGAGTAAGGGGGGTGCTGCTCACCCCTCGTGCATCCTGGGAAGGATGAGAGGCAGAGGAGGGTGCCCCTGGGTCCTGGGATGCTGGGTTCTTGGCGCTTGATGAGCTTCCAGAAAAGTGTGGCGCTGGGTTGGCTGGGCAGACCCTGCCTGTGCTGGGAGGCCCGGGTGTTTGCCTGGACACAGGCGAGTTGAGTGGGCAGTGGGCATCCCTTCGGCTGTGGTGCTGCCAGGGGCGGCCTCTCTCGGCCCCTTGGCCAAGGCCAGGAATGCTGGGTGAGGACACAGCACCAACTCTGCTCTCCTGCTTTCTTCTCCTGCCTGTGGCTGAGGTGCCGGTGGAAGGTGGGGACCAGGCTTCTGCAACGTCCCCAGAGCCAAAATGGTCCGAGGGCAGGGGCAGTTGCATCCCAAACCCATCCCTGGCCTGGGGGTGTCCAGAGCCTTGTACATCCCCCTCTTCCCACAAGTCCTTGTTCTTCAAAGATGAGAGATTCATGGTGGAGGAACAGGGCCCTCCTCCATGGGTAGCTTTCCGTGGGGAAGTCACGGCCGTCGTCTTGCTGGGGTGGCCTTGGTGCCGCTCACCCCTCTCACCGGACTCCTCATGAGACCCGGCCCTCGCTGAGGAGTCGGAAAGGGTGCCTGTCATGCGTCGGGTCCTGGGCTTCCGGCAGCAGTGGCCGCTGCTGCCCTGCCCTGCTCCCTCTGGGCCTGGGCCTCCACCGGCCTGGGGTGTGCGGCCAGCTTCCCGCCCTGGCCGTCTCTGGGAGGTTACCCCTGAGGCCGGATGCAGGTCGCAGCTGCCTGCGCTGCCCTCTGGGGACCTGGAACAGCAGGAGGAGTTTGCCTCCAAGCTTTCGGGGGGTCCGTCACCGAAGGCAGGACGGACGCTGTCCTTGCTGCTGCTTTTCCCGCCAGCAACCCCTTGGCCCCAGCGGCCCCTGGGGTGGGCATAGGGGGCCGGCCCGGCCCTCCTCCGAGCGGCCGTCCCCTCTCCCTGGGCAGCGTACAGGGGGTTCATCCAGATCTCACATCTGGACGCTGGCTGCCGTTGGCCTCGTTCAAAGGCTTCCTCGCATCCTACTTCTCGGGTCCCCAGTCCTTGTGCCCCAGGCTCTGAGGAGCCCCCGGGGTGGCCCTCCCACACCCAGCGGAGGGGGTCCGCCTCCCCCAGAACCGGGCTCCCCCGTCTGGCCACTGCAAGGGCGCTGGCTCTCCCAACCCTCCTGGACCACAGAAGCTTGTCGTTGCCCAGTAAGTGGAAGCGGACTTTCATCTCCACAGACAGGCTGCCATCCTCATTTACGTGGACCTTCTTCTCCACGTCATCGCCAGCCACGAACGGGCCGAGCTGGGCAGGCGTGTCCTGAGGGTGCCCGTCGGGAGCAGGTCCCATCCAGGCACGACGCAGGGGCACCAGGGGGTCGCTGAGACCAGACCTCTCCGACAACAAGGGACACTGCCGCGGCCTGCTGCCCGACCTGGACCTTGAGTGGATCACGCTCTGCTTGGCCTTGGGGCCCCAGCTCCCTGGCACACAAGGAAGAGTAAGAAGAAAGAGGAGAAGACAGTGAGCTGCTGGCGGGAGCTTCAGGGCAAGAGAAAAAAGGCTGGTCATGAGCCTTTCACCACCTAAACACCCGCGCCACCCCCAAAACCACACAGGAAGGGCAGAAACCACTCCAGAGCACATATCCACAGTCTGCTGTGTAAGAACCAGCAGAGCAAAGCGAGATGAACTTGAAGTCTGAATTCAGTCTGAACCCTGCCACTCTTTAGCTGTGTAGCTTTTGGCAGCGTCTCTTTTCTGAGCTGTAAAATAAGAATAATGGTACCTATTTGGAAGTGTGTTTAGACAATGCCAGGCAATGTACCGGTATACAAAATTTCCTTTAAAAAAAACGCAGGCAAACAAAACTTCCTGCAGAGTCGCCAGCACAAAGTGCATTCTTGACAGACAGTAGAGGTGGCGGGCAGGGCAGCCGCGCCCAGAGCGAACTCCTAGCCCTGCTCACGCCCACCCCCAGCACAGGACGCAAAATCAATAAGCTGCTGCATACGCACCTGATCGTAAACTGTAAAGTGCTTTGCAATTATTAGTGGTGATTTATCATCCTAATACTCATCAAGCTTTGGGGTTGTTAAATGATTGCAAGGAGGGACCTGGACACACAATAGCAGGCCCTGACAGTCAAGCCTGCACCCCATGAAAAAAAAGGGGGCTACTGAGGATAGCAAATAGTCACCTCAAGAAAGAATGAAGCCCCTGGTACTTTCTCATTTCATCTCCTTAGCTAACACTTGGCCAGAGGAAGGAGCTAGTAGAAGGTGGGCCTGTGGCCAGCAAAAGAACAGACGCCGTGAGTCCATCTGAGCACGAGGAAGTTTTGTTAAGCTCTGCCCCTTCATGAGCACCAAACGAGACGGGGGCTCCTTCAGCTGCGGCTACCGGGTCTCTGGGTCTCCTGTACCTGGTGTACCTCGCATGCGGCAGCCACCGCCACCGACAACGCTCCTGTCATCTCTTAACAGCTTTCCACAGAGGATCTGATTCTGTTTACTCGCCAAAATTGGCCCATTGTCATTCCAATAACTTTGCTGAAACTCTTATTCTACATTCGTTAATTGTGCTTTTAAAGAAATATTTGTTGTTGTTTTTTAAATAACAAACCCTGAGCTCTGGCAAAGAGTAGGATTTTGGACAGATATGTGGTTGGATGTTTAGGTTAATGGGTTGGATGAATGGCCAATGATTATCTTTAGTTTTAGTCCATTTGGCCCCCACCATTGTCTAAGGGAGTCATGGCTCTTAAATGATGCAAATGCCACAATAGCCACGGTCCACTGCTCACCATGGCCCTTAATAAAGCTTATATTAGGTCCCAGAAACTTAGAGTTCAAGATCTCTTAATCCCTATTCTCTGTGTACCAGAATCCTCTCTCTCATACCCCAAATGTTCAACCCAGTTAAGGTTGATGGCAACGAGAAGAGGAAGAAGAGACCAGAGAGACCCCAACCAACTGGTTGCCCAAGAATTGGGGCCAAAGACAGGTGTCCTAAGTTATCTAGAAAGAATACCTTCCCAGCTCTCCTGAAACACTATCCTGTGCAAATCACATGCGGGAAACTCCAAAACCAGCTCACCGTTTTTGTTCCTTGAAGTCTGACCCGATAAAATCTCAGTCCCACTTCTCGCACCTTCCGTTGCCAGAGGTCTGAAGGACTCAGGACCAGCACACACCAGCACTGGGGGGCCGTGCAGTAGAGCCTTCAGGGAATCCACCTGAAGGAGGAGAGCATGAGTCAGGAGGCCTGGTCTGCAGAACCTCCCTTCTGCTCGGGAAGATGCAGATAAAGGAAGTACCTACTCCCTCTGGCCCTGTTTGTCCATCTTGCCCCAGATTTCCGATACAAGGGAAGGGTCCCTTCCACTTGCCATAATACCATAACCAGCTGAAGACTGTGGTCCTTCCACAATTATCTTCCTCCCTACCTATTTCCTCCCAGTGGGAGGCCAGTGGTGTAAATGTTATTCCGGAGGCCTCAGGTGCAAAAGACTTCCTGGAGCCCTTGGTCTGCTTCCCTGCCCACACTTGCACCCTCCAGAACTGGCATTTTTTAAAGCCACCAGCTTCCACAGGGAGACCTGATTCACTATCTCACCCTTTCCCCAAGCAGAGTCCTCTCCTGGGTTTATCTGTGTTTTCCAGCATAACCTGGCCCTTCGCCTCTGCCTCTGCCCTTAGCGGAGCGGAGAAGGGCAAGGCACCATTCTCTGCACCAGTGGTCCTTCCATCCCAGGCTCCTCCAAGGGTTCTGCAGGCTCCTGCCCAGACTCTGTGTCACCCCCCCTCCCCCCGCCCCCGACATCCCTCCACACACCCACCAGGATGTCCTGGGCTGCCAGTGGAGCAGGCAACGTCAGTGCTGGGTTGAGTTCCAGAAAACAGGTTCCTGCTTTTCGAAAACTCTCCCCTGGCCCTGAGGCCCCTGTCTATGTGAGGGTTTGCACTATTTATAGCCTTACATCATAATGAGCACTGTTGCGGAATTTAGTTCCATCTTTAAAGTGCTGAATCTGTTCTTTTTCATTTTCTCAAATTAGAAGGGTATGTTCCATTAACAAGGGAATGGAAAAAGGAGAGAACACTTGCACCTTCTCCTCCCCAAATGACATTAAGTTTGCTGTCCACCAGATCTTTCAACCCAGTTAATTAAAATTTTGTTTTGAACAACCAGGGACATTTCTCTTTTGATTTTGATTTCTGGTCCATCATAAAAATGTAAACATGACCAAATCTATCAATGTATAGATGTAGCTGTGCTTCTAGAAAACCAGACTTTTCCAAGGAATAGAATTGAAAGCTAAATGATGCTCCCATTTGAGAAAGAGAGTGTGGTCTAGGACTCATGGAAACAAAAGAGCATCACTGAGAGGCCCATCCAGCCAAGGACCCACAGACGAATAAATGTGACACAGATTGTCCTGGGAAACAATGAGTCTACTTTGTTTACAGAAACGCTAATAGCTCTGTATCAAATCTTTCCGAAAATATGCTAATTTTTTTCTCCAATTAACTTGTTTTGACCTGCTCTCGCTCTCTCACCACACCCACTGAACTGTAGCCAACGGACGATAAGTAGGGGCCTAGTCTTACTCGTCTGTAAAATCTGCATGTAGCGCAGGCCAGTGCATAGCAAATGCATCACAATTTAGAAAGGTTCTGCCATTACAACTCTGAAATCCTTAAGGCTGACTGTATCATTTGCCAGCCACACAACTATGAGCAAACTACTTGACCCATGGGCCTCAATTTTCTTAACTCTACACATGGTATAATATTAACTGCCTCACAAATTTGTGTGATGGAGGCTATGCCCTAGATCTGTCAAGGTCAATTCCACTCTCTTTCTGGTGTGCTTTCCAGGACTGCAGGGCTTCAAAAGCTCTAAACACATTTTCAGGAGACGATGACAGCTCAGGCAGCAGTGGCCAGACCTAGCGCCCCAGTGCTCCTGCAGGCCGAAGTGCAGATGGGGCCGTCTCCAGATCTCGGCTTCACAGGCCTGGATGCCGCAGCCGAGGAGTCTGCTTGAACTCCACAATCACTGCAGCTTCAGCCCGGGGCAGTGGCTTCCCTGCGGAATGCTGGGAGCCATTCCTGCAAGCCCAGATTCGCCCCGCCAGTTCATCCTGTCCGAAGGAAGCCCCCTACTGTCCTGCTTTCTACTTAAGGTGTTTCAAGTAGTTTCTGCTTCCTGCACTGAACTCTCCCTGCAATAGATTAAATAATAGGAGAGTTGGATAAGAAAAGAATGAAGGCATGTAAGGCAGTGCCTGGGGCTCGCTAAATGGTAGCTAAAAATATGAATAACAATTGTTTGTTTGATTAACTGACTCAATGTCTCCACTCTGCCCACCTTTAATTAGTAGCAGGGCAACCACTGCCTCTTTTTGAGGATAACCTCCCCATTCCATCCAAGTATTTTGACCTGGGGTCCAGAGGACTTTTTAAAGAAGATGTCACACCCCAACAGCCTACCTTTTTCCCACTGGCTGTGTACACCTGCTTCACGGGAAAGTGCAGAAGGTCCGAGGCTTTGCTGAGAAAGGCCGACAGGCTCCTGGTATTTCTGCGACTGAGAACCACTGTCTGCTGGAATCGAGGATCCCCATTCTTCACCAGCAGTATTCTCTTTGGGGCTTTAGGATTTTTCCGGGAGGAGGATGTTCCTGGCGCCTTGCCCTGGCCTTCCACATCCTGGGACTGCTGAGTAGAGGGGCTTCTCCCTTGTGGCCGGCCTGGCCCACTGGAGGTCTTGGGGGGCTTCTTATCGGAGCAGAGGTAGCAACCACCATCCTCTAGCTGCTCCAGGGCACTGAGGCCATGCAGACCTCGGGGCGTGGTGACGGAGCGCACCCCGAAGGAGAGAGGCACGCGCTGGGAGAGCTCATCCATCAGCGCCCCGAAGCTCTTGAAGGTGCGTTGGTGGACAGCCAGGCGAACCCCAGAAAACTGGGGATCCCCTTGCTTGAGGAAAGTTATTTTCTTGGCTGGAGTGACCTGGGTGACAGAGGGGGCCCGGGCCACGGAAGGCAGGAGGCACTCACGGTAGCTGGGGGCCTGGGCATCCCTCGGGGTGCTGTTCATGGTGTGGAGGCCCAGGAAGCTGAAACTGATTAAAGGAAGAGAGTCAGAGAGCAGCCAAGAGATGCTGCATTTCCTCTCAGCTCCTCCTTATAGAGGTGGTTCTTGCCCGATCCAGATTTGTTCCACTCGGCTCTCAAGAGGCAGGTTCATCCTTTTTGAAGGAATAGAAGGAATGCACAAAGGTTTGGCTTCGGATAGATCTGAGTTCAAATTCTACCCCACCCCTCTACTCCATGTGACTCAGGAGGTGAATGACATGCTCTGTGTTTGAGGGTCCTACCTGCCAAGTGCAGCCATATTCATTCTGCAGAGTGGTTATAATGGGCAGACAAGTTGATGCACATACAGCACCAGACACAGAGCAAGCACCAGTACATATTTATTCCTTTCCCTCTGCTTGCTGTTTCTCTTACTCAATTCTACCACCTGTAGTCTCCTAAAGAGGTGGGTAAGTCAAGGGAAGACCATGGAATGCAAGTGCAAGGGCACAGGGCAAGCAGTCAGGAGGCCTGGGCACCTTGCCTACTCCCCCTTAGTGCAAAGACTTACGTGTGGCCCTGAGGGATGCCCAGGACTCTGGACTTTCATCCTTCAACTACCAGGTGAGAGGCCTGCAGCAGAATCCCTCAGTCCCAACCCCTTCAGGGGCCACAGGGCAGACGAGGAGACTTGTAATCCAAAGAGGGTGTTGCCTCTCCATGTTGCATGCTTTCTCCACTATATAGTGATGTTTGCTTTCAAATGAAAAGAATGCCTCCCTCATATCCATTCAAAATCTTTGGGACATGTATAGTGAACCCTGTCAATCAGTACCCCAGCCTGCTCCCACCAACACGGGAGACTCGGGGTTCGGGCCAGCCATGCTTGGGTCACAGTCATTCATCCAGCTGTTCGTTTCTGTCCCCACCGGGGTGGAGCTCACTGCCTCACCTGGGACTCTCGCCAAAGGCTGAGTCCGACCAGGTCACCGCACCCTGCTCTGTTCTGCGTACCTGCTGACCTTCTGTCCTGAAATCCAGTTTTTACGCAGATAATTCCTGTGCTCCCAGCCCTTCAAGGGGTTCCCAGTGTCTGCAGAAATAGCCCAGGCCCCTCATCTCACCATTTGAGGCCTCTCCATCTTGGTCCTGCCCACCCGCCAAGCCTCAGCTCCTGCTCTTTCCTACAGGAATCCTCCACTCCAGTGAGGCGGCCTGACTCAGGCTCCCTTGCATGGCGACCCCCATCCTTCTCTACCCTGCCTTGCTTCCCTCCTTGGTGGAGACTTCCCCAGCCCCCAAGTCTGGAGCAACCCCCACTTTCAGCATGATTCCCTGACATTTCCCCCATCCTGAGCTGTATCCTTCCTGGTCAACTACCCCAAGGCCTGGGAGGCAGGACCTGTGCTTCCCCAGGGCGCCCACCCCAAGCTTGGCACACAGCAGGGGCCCAGGAAATCCATACTGACTAATAAGGCAGATATTTCACAGAGCCTCATACCAGGGCCCAGGCCTGTCAATAAGATGACACTTGAGTAATTATGATCAGGTGAGGAGTCATCCCTGCTTCCGCATGGTTCAGGCCATGCAGGACCCTCATTAGCGGGTGTGCTCACTGCAGGCGCCTGAGGCCTTCCCTGCTGCAGCTGTGGCTCCTGCTTACAGTTCCTCCAGCGCCCACATCTCCCTTCCTTACCTTGCCTTTCTATTTACCCCATTCCTCTTAGGAGAAAGGATTCTCCTCTCATTTTCAAAATCTTTGTGCACAAAGAGGCCTTGTAATTCTCTCTCATCTCTGGCACAAACTTTATAATTAGTTTCTTCAGCCTCCTCCCTCTCAACTAATCCCTTTAAGCTGCTCTCTCAGACCTCCCGCTAACAGCAGCAGCTGCCTGTGCTATTACTCCATGTGCCTTCCTGAAGGACTAACTTTCCTTCCCACTTGATTTTCATTTTCACTTGTGACAATGAGCATCCTTCTTGGCCCTCACCAAGGAACCAAGAGAAAAACTAAGGGACACGGCGGGATGCAGTGATGCTGGGGAACGTGGTAGGGGAGGCACAGTGACATTGGGGGACAGAGTAACATTGGAGGGCCATGTCCCTCATAACCACCATATTCCCCAGCATCACCGTATCTCCCAATGTCGCTGTGTCCTTTGATGTCATCATGACCCCCAATGTCACCGTGTCCCCCAGTGTCCCTTTGTCTCCCAGCATCACCATGCCCCCAGCCTCCCTGATGTCTCCCAGGGTTTCTGCTCCTTGCAGCCCATTTCTGGGCAGAGAGGATCGATCTCCCTAGAGCTTTTCAGACAGCAGCTCTGCAGGGCGAAGGGGAATGTTCAAGGGCAGGCAGGAACCTGGCCTGAAACGAAGGCAAAGACCATTTTGTGGTTCACTGAGGACCCAGGCAAAAGCATAACATCGCAGCACACACTCAAGTGGCTGACTTCTTCCTGCAGTCTTCTGGGAAATAATGTCTTTCTGAATTGGAATTCTTTATCTCCAACTGGACTTTTGAAACTAAAAGAGAAATGTCCCCTGAGAAATTCTAAGTACCAAAATTCAAGCTAATAGCAGTGAGGGGCCTCCACGAAAGCTCCCTCCCAACATGAGACCTAGCACACGGCCCCAAGAGAAGTTACTGATCAACCCTCTGCTAAATGCACCTGCACTCATATAACTGACAAGATTCTGCATTAACTTTAGGTGGCGGTACACCTGCATACACACAACATACACACATGTGCAGGGCACACATGCATATGTGGGACGCACACACACATACACACATATTAGAAAAAAATTAGGACCTGGAAGAAGGAGCTGAAGGATCCAGAATGGCCTGGACCCATCAACTGGGAAAGGTGAGGGCGTACAGGACTGTAAAGGTTGCCCCACTCCTCACAGGAAGGGGAGGCAACGTCCTGCTCTCCAGCGTCATCAGTAGACACAAACAGGTTCAATTTCAGCCCCACGGTGAGTCCCTGAGAAGTATGACCTCCCATGTAGCCATGGGGAAAGGAGAAGTCAGTTGATTTTCTTTGTCAAAGAGGCTTAATGAACTTCTCATTCTTTCACTTTCAACACAACCTGGTCCTGCCAGGTTATTCATGTGTTCACTCACTCATTCATTTACTTGTTTGTGTGCCACACAAAAATCCCTGAGCAGCTATTGTGTACTATGCTGGGTCCTAGAAATACGAAGATTACTGAGACATAGCACCCATCTTCCAAAATTTCCCATTCCGGTGTGACAAATAGGTACATTATTAATATGTAGCATAAGAAATATTCTGAGATACAGATACCAAAATAGAGATAGAGATATATTATACACAGGACATGACTGAAAGCAGATTGAGAGAATTGGCAAGTCAGGGAAGACTTCCTGGAGGAGGCGACATAAGCAGAGACCTAAAGGGCAGCTTTGGGATTAGCCAGAGAAGGAAGAAGTTGGGAACGGTATGGCAAATAGATATGACCTTGGTGCCAATTCTGATAGGCTGGCATGTATTGTATTGGAAGGGCGAGAGGAAAATGTACCCGGGCTCCCTGTACACCGTGATATGCTAGCAACATTATGCTGCCATAGTGTCAGGGCAGAGAAGGATCATACAGGTGCCAGACATTTGCCATCCCTGCTCTGCTCAGGGCATTCAGGATGGGGGCGTATGTGCAAAAGGGCAGCGAGGGATCCAAGCGTGGGTGTTCAGTGAGGGCCTTCTCAATGGATGTCATTCGGATACTTCAGAAGACCCCCAGGCAACAGTAGGGAGGGTGGGGCCTGGGAGGGGGGAAAAGGTATTGGTGAACAAGGACAATTTAGTGGAATGAACACCAGGGAGACTGATCCAGGAGAGGCTGAGAAAAAGCCACCAGCAGGACTGGGTGATCAACCAATGGGCCGGTGGGAAGAGGCTGTCGGGGAGAATGAGCTCCAGCATGGTCCTGGGGCCTCAGCCTCCAGACCTGGGCCCAAGGTGGTGCTCACTCCTCCCCCAGCAGGAGAGCAAAGTGGGGAGCAGTTTTGGAGTCAGGGGGTGAAGGAGTGGAGGGAGGTGCCCCCTCTCTGCAGGGATGGGCACCCTGCTCATTACTGCATCTGACACCGAGTTGTTAAGGGGGCTGATGAACACTCCTGCAGGGAGGAGGAAATGAACAGACACAAGCAGCAGGACCCAGAGCCCCTTGCCACTGAAGTCTGCAAGGCTCATGACTGCCAAAAGCAAACTCGGGCAGGGAGTCGGGGGTGCCCTACATTTGATCCAAGAACAGGTAAATAAAAAAGAGGAGGCTGGAAACTGGAGGGTGAAACAAAGAAGAAACAAGAAGCAGGTGTCATTGCAGGCCAAGCTGACCAGCTGTCCCGGTATACCCAGGACTGTTCCAGTTGTAGCACTGACAAGCCCTGACCCACTGTTCCACCACCTCCTGTCCCCGGCTAACTGGAACGGGTTGGTCACCCTGCCTGGGTGCCTTCACTATGGGTCTGGGTAGGTTTGTGGGATCAGGCGGCCTCTTTTTGGTGCTGGCCCAGCTCGCAGGGAGGCTGAGACAAGCTGGCACTGCCAGGGGTTGCTTCACAGAACCAGAAAAAGATGTCACCACGAAGGATAGGAAACCCAGTCCCAATGGCCTGGTTGATTCCCTGGGTGCAGGAAGGCCTGAAACCAGAACCCAAAGAAGAAAACTGGGCTCTTCAGTTATGGGAGCGGACAATTTTCCCCTTAGCTTAATGGATTTGAGTTGAAATAGAGGCGGACACAGACCCCCCCGGAAGCAGCACCAGGAAGTGTCTTGCCTTTCCCAGATTCTGAAGCTGCATTTCTGAGTAGGAAGGTCTCCAGGGGCATAGGAGAGGGGAGGGGATACAGCTCTGAAGCCCCGGCCAAAAACCTTCCTTCTTTGTCCCCAAAGGGGACAACTGTCCCATCGCTATGTGCCAGTGAGGGCGGGAGGAGGAGAGAACATGCCACAGGCCCTTGGCTGTGGAACGGACATTAATGGTCAGCTCACACAT